TTCATTTCATTTCATTCCACTTCATTTTGTTTGTTTTATTTTATTTATTTTAATATTAATGTTAATTTAATTTAAGCTGAATTTTTAATTGATATTTTATTTCATTTGTTTTATTTTATTATTTTATTTTACTTTATTTTACTGTACTTTATTTTCATTTGATTCCATTCACTTTATTTTATTTTTTTTATTTCACTCTATTCTAGTTTAATTTTTCTGTTATTATTTTATTTTATATTTTTTACATCTTCCTATATTTTATTTGAAAGGATTTCTCATTTATTTTCTCTCTCAAAGGAAAGACTCCGTGCTTCTCGTTGAATCTATCTGGAGGCCCCGTCCTGTCCCTTGGCCAACTCAAGACAACCTCAACAAGAGTTCAACGTCAACGGAATGGATATGCCAGCTTTTGTTGACTTGCCAAATTGTCGTTCCTACTTTTCTTTTGCTCCTGGGTTAGCCGTTTCCCAAAAAGCTGATAATCCTTCCGGGTCACTTCCAGGTGAGAAGAAGTAGGATATGACTCTTCTCCCAATCAGGAGACCATTGCTAGAAGAAAACGAGGACTGGAGGGCCAAGGGAGTTCTTCTAATCCAACCTTCTGTTCAACAAGAGAGTTGGAAGGAACCTTGGAGTTCTTCTAGCCCAACCCTCTGCTCAATAAGAGAGTTGACAGGGACCGTAGAGGTCATCTAGTCCAACCCACTGCTCAAACAGAAGACCCTAGACCATTGCAGACAAATCATTGTCCAACCTCTTCTTCTTAAAAACCTCCAGTGATGGAAAACCAACCATTATGTCAACATTCTGCCAGGACAGGCCACAATTTCAAGATGGCCTGCTAAGAGTTCCGTGACCCGTCAAAAGCGCGAACGTCATAAGCGCGCCGACAACACCGCGGCCCTAAAACCGCAATTTCAAAAGCGCGCCGACAACAGCATGCCGACAAAAGCACGATTTCATTTAAGGTAAGATTTACAGTTAGGTTTAGGTTTAGGGTAAGGTTTAGGGTTAGGTTTAGGGTTAGGTTGAGGGTTAGGTTGAGGGTTACATTACAGTGCACTTCTGTCGGCGCGCTTCTGTCGGCGCGCTTCTGTCGGCGCGCTTTTGTCGGCGCGCTTTAGGGCTAATTAGTCACTCATTCGTCGCGTGGTTTTGTCACCGCGCTTTAGACACCGCGGTTTAGTCAGGCGCGCTTTTGTTCTGCGCGCATTTGTGGTGGAACCAAGAGTTCCACTTTGAAAGATCTTCAGAATGTTGGGGAGATGAAGAGAGAGAGACTGCTAGAGAAACATTGTTCTGAGGCCTCTCAACTCTGGCAAATAACCCTTGGATGATGGGAGACCTAGCACACCCTTTCAGAAGATGGAGGAAGTCCAACTGAATACATGTATGATCCTGGATCTAGAACCCAATTGCGTGATAAGAGACGTCCACACAACTGTTTTTGTCATTTTGTTGCATCTCTGGAGGGCTGTCCAGCGCCCCCATTTCATAGATCATGGACTCAATAAGGCTGGAAGGGACCTTGGAGGTCCTCTAGTCCAACCCTTGCTCAAGGCAGGAGGCCACACTGGCCAAATGGTTATCAGTATTGTCAAAGTGATGGAAGAACGACAACTCCATTGACTAACTAATTAGTTAATTAATTATTTAATTATTAAGGGGACACCCAATGGGAAAGGAAGGAACATCTTCAGATCTATAATTCCCTGGGGGAATTCCGGGAGTTGAAGCCCACAAGTTTTAAAGTTGCCAAATTTGAGGACTCCTGATCTAGGTGGTGTTTGAAGTTTTGCAGACTCTCACAGAAGGAGACAATCTTTTAGCATCCAATAGTCTCCTCCAGGCCACCTTTGTGTCCACCTTGGCTGGTCAAGGCTGTCCAGAAGACATGTGGTTGGAGTGACTTTAGCCCCCCCTGCTCGAGAAACCTATGTTAGATCCACCATCAATGTTCACCTGGTTCCCAATTGCCTCTCTTTGGAGGACGAGTAGGAGAAGTGGACCCCAAGAACATTATGGGAGACCCATCAAAGAAGGACCTAGGAGGAAGGAGCTAGAAGCAAACTTGAGGACGAAGATCGAAACCATCTCCCCTTGGTTTTGCTTGGAAGATTGGAGGAGAGAGAAAGATAGATACCACTTTGATGTTCATATACCTTACAACAATTAAGTAAAAATTTTGGAACCGAATAGTGGGATTTCAGGGTTGAACTGTGAGGTTACTCAACTAGGTAACATCCTCAATGCTGGGAGTGTGGTTTCCTGTTTATATACTAGTGGCTTCCCGTTAGTGTTGGGCGGAAGTGTGGTTTTCTACTTGGTAGTTCCTACATTAGGGTACAGGTAAGTCATTGACTTATGACTACAATGACGCCCCAAAATTCTGTTTGTTCAGTGAGATCTGCCCCATTTGATGGCTAAGTGAACCCCTAGAGTTGTTAGTCACCCGGTTGTGGAGCGAGTGCGGCTTCCCCATGAACTTGGCTTGTCAGATTGCAAAAGGGGATCCTGACATCACCATAAATATAGTTGCCAAGACACTGAATTTTGATCTTAACTGACCTTGTGTGAAAATTGGTCATAAATAAACCATTGTAAATTGAGAACTGTATTGTATTTCTTGTTCTCTGACTCTGTCATAAATGATAGTATAATAACCTGCAAATAAAGTAGTTAGTAGTTAATTAGTAGTAAATTATTAGTAATCTAGTAGCAAATTAGTAACCTAGTAGTAAATTATTAGTAACCTAGTAGTAAATTATTAGTACTCTAGTAGTAAATCATTAGTAATATAGTAGTAAATTAGGGCCGGTTTTAGAAACTAAAATAGTTGTAAAATATTAATCAGTATTCAAGTAAGGGAGACAATATGTGTATATACGTGTGCTGGTTCTTTTTTGAATGCACTTTTTAAAAACACCTCTTTTGTTTTTTCTGTTTTTTCTTTGGAATTTTTTTTTGGGGGGAAAAAATAAAAACGGAGCTTTTTTTAAAAAAAGAAATTAACACACAGAGAAGGTTATGCCCCATTCTCTTTATTAATAAAGACACTTTTTTATTTTTTTCTAACTTGTCGGTGAATTTCGGCTTTGCGAAACACAGAAGTTTTGCCATTTCCATTTCAAATGCAAGACAGGATCGCACAAAAAAACTGGAAAGCTAGAGAGATGCAGAAATAAGCTAACGAGAGAGGGAGAGACCCACACATACACACAAACAAAGCTTTAAGGAATGGAAATTCTTTTTAAAAAAATGCAAAATGTAAGGGTGGAAACGTTCCTCATAATTACGCGCTGGTCCAGAGATTTTTCACTGTGAATGCACTGATTTTTGTTCACTTCTCTGACTGTATTTTTAAATTTAAAGTTTCATTATTTAACCGTGCAACGTGTGTAAGACTTAAAATCTTTTCTCCCTGCTTTTTACGATAATAAAAACACTTTTTAAACAAATAAATGGGACAAACTAGCTTAAAACCCAAACCTACAGAAATCATGGATTCTTGATTATTCCATTCAAAACCCCTGGTGCGGCTTTCCTATTTTTTTCCTATAAATCTGATTAATTTTCTTTTTTTTCCTTTACAGGTAGGTTAGTGATTGGGAAACACAGAAAAAAGAAAAAGAGCGAAATTGCAGAAAAATGAACAATTTCAGAAGTAACCGAAAATTCCTTCTGGTTGTGTACAACAAATGTTACACAAAAACTCCTTCCGGCCTTCGCTCCTTTCCTTTCATAATGCGGGGTGATTTTATTTTTTTGCTATTTTTTTTAGACACATGATAAATGCATTGCGATAAGGATATATACATCCTTATCCTAATATATATATATATTTTACACACACATGGGATATATATCTTTCTATGTATAATATTAAAATAAAATAAGTTATAGGCGTCTGGATTCTCCGATTGTCGCGCTCTTCAAGGGACAGTAGAAGTTCGTTCTGTCCGAAGCGACAAGAAGTTGTGGGTCTTAACACTCCCCTGCGCCCCCCCAATGAGGCTAACAAAATCACAAAAAGAGGTGTGAAATGAGAAGCAGGAGTTTGGCTCAGCTCTGGGTTCACAGTTTCACATTTTAAACCTCCAGCAGGGGGCGCTGGGGAAGGTGTAAGATGTAGTTCGACCCGCCTGAAGACCATCCAAAAGGCAGATGGTCTCCTCGCGGGACAGGTTCTTCGGAGGCAACATTGGGATAGGAAGGTTGCGTTTTATTGTAGGATTGGCCGACAACGAGCAGACACCACAGAGCTGGCATGCGGTTCTTAACGGTGTATATGTGTAGGATGAAAGGCAACGGTTGCAGGTCCATCTTATCTAGAGGGGAAGATCTAATTCATTTTATGGGTTGGAAGAGGTTAGCCATGACTTAAATTGGAGATATTCTGTTGACATTCATCATCTAGATGAGGTTCAACCTTCCAGAAACACTTTTGATCATGAACTTTTGGGGGTACACCAAATCCAACCTTTGTTGTTCCTTAAATCTTAGAGGCCTCCCTTTCATGACCAAGGATGAACCTCTAAGTTCTAATTTCCAACATGGTCTTCTGGGACATCCCTAGAGGAGACTTTGCATCATCCTTAAAGATAAATGCAAGGAGAAGACATTTCTGATGGACCCGATGGGCTGAAGGCCAAGTCATGGGGTAGATGTATCGGTAACCCAAGTCTTCACCAAAGGCCAGGAATGTTGACCATCAAGACGTCTTCCCAATACACCGAACTCTAAATATGAAGTAAGTCCTGTATTTCATCCAAGGGGTTGACTTGGTTTACAAGGCTCAACTGGTTGAAGATGAATCCAGTCCAATTTAAGCCCTTGGTTGAAGGCCAACGGACGTTCTTCTTGAATTTTTACCATGACTTTCCTTTGATAGACATGGACCAGGCCACAAGATGTGATATCAAGAAGAGAGAGTTGCATAACATGACGACAAAGCACGGTTGAGGTCTATTTCTGATTTTATCTTCTCAGGTAGGGTTGTCCCATCAAGAGGTGGACCTTGCGCATCTCCAGAGGTTCAAAAAAAAGACAGGAACCTTTCCCATCTCCCCCGACGCGTTCCAGAGGTCGGTCAATCTGCCATTTTCCTCTTGGACGGCGGGACAAGGTGAGGCGGTAGCTCGCTGGGAAGCTCATGGCCTTCCAACTTGACCTTGATGAGATGGTTGGCCAAGGCAAACTCTTCATCGTCCAACATCCCGTCTTTGTCGATGTTGGACAGTTTCCAGACCTTGCCCAACATGGTGCTGGGGAGCTTGGACCTCACCATCTCCCTCTTGGCGTTGGCCCCGGTTATCTTCCCGTCGACAGGGGACAAGGTGTAGAAGATCTCGTCATACATGGGCTTGTCACGGGCCACCACCCAGGTGGCGTCGTCGATGCCTTCTCCGGCTCCTTCTCCGTAGCCATGTCCGAAGGGGCCATGGAGGGTCCCTTCGAAGGCGCCGCCTTTTACCATCTGGGCTGGCCGCTGGGATTCTTCCTGGCGCACTAAGACCATCAATTGGGCAATGTCGTGGGCCAACATGTCTTCCACCGCATCCAACAGCTTGGCCTTCAGGGGTTGGAATTTGCTGAAGTCTTGACCCTGGAGTTGGTCCTGGAGAAGGGAGGTTAAGAGAAATGGACACAGGCTGAGGAAGAGGGCAGAGGTGGCAGAGACTAAATAAAACCCTGGTCAAAAAGGTTACAGGGTCTCCTGCCTGAGCAGAGGTTGGACTGGAAGACCTCCCGGACCCCTTCCAACTCTGCTATTGTGAGGAGGAGGAAGTAAGGAAGGGAAAGGAGGGAGGGAGGGAGTAAAAAGGACAAAGGGCAGAAGAAGAAAGGAGAATGAGGGAGCAAGGAAGGACACAAGGCAAAGAAAGGAAGGAAGGAAGGAAAGAAGGAAGGAAAGAAGGAAGGAAGGAGAACACAAGATGAAGGAAGGAAGGAATGAAGGAAGGAGGGAGGGAGGAGGACACAAGGCAAAGGAAGGAAGGAAGAAGGAGGGAGGGAAGGAGGAAGAAGGATGGAGGAAGGAAGGAGACTGAGGGAGGAAGGAAGGACACAAGGCAAAGAAAGAAAGGAAGGAAGGAAGGAAAGAAGGGGGACACAAGATGAAGGAAGGAAGGAATGAAGGAAGGAGGGAGGGAGGGAGGAGGACACAAGGCAAAGGAAGGAAGGAAGAAGGAGGGAGGGAGGAAGAAGGATGGAGGAAGGAAGGAGAATGAGGGAGGAAGGAAAGACACGGCAAAGGAAGAAAGGAAGGAGGGAAGGAGGAAACAAATGGGTGTAATTTGAGGACTGACCATGGGATGCTGCAAACCGTCGTAAATGTGGGCTGGGGCATTCTGGGTGTCAAAGTCTACACATCAAAAGACTGCTCCCTCCCCCTCCCCCTCAGAAGAACTAATGTCCCTTTTTCCCTCTTTTTTCCCATCACTCACTTGCATTTTCTTTAAATTGGGGAAATCTCCTGGCGAGATCTGATGCTCTCGCTCGATCCGGCCGTAAATCTCGCCCAGGTTGTTGACCAGCTCTTTCTTTTTGTTGTCTTTGCCAAAGACGGAGGGCATTTCTTTCTTCAGAGAGCTGATGATATAGGCCTGAACCTAGCGGAAGGAAATAAAAAGAATTAAAATATAATAATAAAAAAAATAAAAATTCAGATCGGAACAATATCGGTAGGCGGGGAGATTCTGACATTCTTGGAGTCCCTCTGTGAGGGAGTGGGCGTGGCTTGGCAGTCATGTGACCGGGCGGGTATGGACAACTTGACATCACTCACGCACACTCAGTCACATGACCACCCCCCCAAGCCATGTGGCAAAAATTTTTGGGACTCCTATGAAGGGATAGGGGGAAGAGAGGGGAAAACGTTCCAAAAATCGACAACTGGAGGATTAAGAGCCGGAATTAGGGAGATCGGAGAAGACAGGACATAAGGGAATCCGGGAGAAAACTCCTGAGCTTGCCGCTGTTGTCTTGTGGATTGTTCCGCTGGACCTCTCCATGCTTCTCCATTCACCACCTCCACTCCCAGGTATGGGACTTGACACCGAATTGGGCTAGGATAGTGCGGGCGGGCGGGGGGAGCAAGTGATGGAGCTGCTTCCGGATGGGCAGGGGTGAGCGAGCAAGCGAGCGACAGGGCCGGGGCAGGCGTTCCGGAAGTTACTTCTGGGTCCACCGGTCGAACCTCCTCTCACCGGATCGGTAAATTTCACCATCCGGTTCTCCCGAGTCGGTGCGATCCGGCAGAAACCCACCACTGCTACTTACCTACCTACCTACCTACCTACTGGCCTCTATCTGTCTGTCTGTCTGTCTGTCTGTGTCTACCTACCTACCTCTACCTACCTTCCTACCTACCCATATCTACCTATCTACCTATATCTACCTACCTACTTACCTACCTCATCTATCTGTCTGTCTGTCTGTCTGTCTCTGTCTGTCTGTCTACCTACCTCTACCTACCTTCCTACCTATATCTACCTATCTACCGGTCTATCTACCTACCTACCTACCTCATCTATCTGTCTGTCTGTCTCTGTCTGTTTGTCTGTCTGTCTGTCTACCTCTACCTACCTTCCTACCTATATCTACCTAGCTACCGATCTATCTACCTAGCTACCTTATCTATCTGTCTGTCTGTCTGTCTACCTACCTACCTACATACCTATCTCTCCCTACCTACATCTATCTATCATCTACCTACCTACCCACCTACCTACATCTCTCTCTACCTACCTCTACCTACCTACCTACCTTCATCTACCTACCTACATCTACCTACCTACCTACCCATATCTACCTACCTACATCATCTATCTGTCTGTCTACCTACCTACCTCTACCTACTTCCTACCTATATCTACCTATCTACTGGTCTATCTACCTACCTACCTACCTACCTCATCTATCTGTCTGTCTGTCTCTGTCTGTCTGTCTACCTACCTACCTCTACCTACCTTCCTACCTATATCTACCTATATCTACCTATATTTACCTATCTACCTATCTACCTACCTACACCTACCTACCTACCTACCTACCTACCTANAAAACCACCAAGCTCAGAGAGCACCCAAGACCCCACAGTCTGCATGTCCTTCCTTCCTTTCCCCCCTACTTCTCCTCCTCCTCCTCTCCACAAATCCCACTCGCTTCTAGCACTGACGATGTTCCCAAGCTGGGTCATAAAATGCCTAGAAGAGAAGCTCCCAGCTCAGGAAGCAGCAAGGAGGCCACTAACAAAAAGAAAACCCAAAAATAATTTATGGCCCCGAGTGAAAGTCAAAATGCTCAGTTTCCCTATTTTATTGATTCTGTCTATTGTGAGCATTTTTCTCCTACACCAGATATAGGAATTCTGGGAGTTGTAGTCTATCCCTCTTAAAGGGGCCCACACTTTGAAAAACATCAGGTGAGTTACCAATTGAGGGTTAAGCATTACTCCATAACCCAATCAGTCTACTCTCCACATCCACGCCAAATTGGGGGGGGGGGGGGGATATAATGGGTGTTGTAGTCCACCCCTCTTAAAAGCCATCCCCCCTTTGAGAAACACTAGACAAGGGCAATCAATTGAAGGTTGAGAATTATCGTCAACACCCCCATTGTAACAAGGCTATTTGGCATCATTGATCCCAGCTGGGGGATAATGGGAGTTGTAGTCTCTCTACACCTATCTTAAAGAATCCAAATTTGAGAACTAACCACTGAAGATCCAGCATTATTTCATTACTCAACAAGGCTATTCTACTCACCAGTCCCATGGGAAGGGGGGGAGGATGAAGGGAGCTGCAGTCCATCCCTCTTAAAGCGGGGCACTTTTGAGAAGGCTTGAATGAGTCACCAAAGGAGGGTTGAGACAGTGGCTCTCAGCCCCATCACAACAAACCAATCAATCCTAGCTGGGGGGGGGGATCATGGTAGTTGTAGTCCACCCCTCTGAAAGGGGGCCAGCTTTGAGAAACATCGGGTGAGAGTTACCCATTGAGGGTCAAGTGTTATTCTCCAGCCCACTAGGGTATTCCCCCCCCCACCATCGGTCCCAGCTGGGGGTGGGATCATGGGACTTGTAGTCCACTCCTCTTAAAGCTCCTCCCCCTTTTGAGAAAAAACTAGACAAGAGACATCAGCTGAAGGTCGCCCATTACTCCCCAGCCAACAAGGCTATTCTGCCCATTCATCAAAGCGGGGGTGGGTGGGCGATGGGAGTTGTAGTCTTTTAAGAGGCCCAATTTGAGATCTAAACCCTGAGGGTCGGCCCAACGATTCCAAAGCCAACAAGGCAATTCTGCCCATCGGTCCCAGTTGAGAGGGGGACGATGGGATCTGTAGTCCCTTCCTCGACAATATTTGGCGATTTCCTACAACCCCCACCAAAGAAGGGCGCCCCCTACCGGATGAAGGTGGTCTTGCCGGTGGAGTACTGGCCCACCAGCAGCACCATGGGCTTGTTGTCGAAGTCGGCGTCCTCCAGGGCGGGCGAGTGGAACTCATGGAACTTGTAGTGCTCCTCCAGCGGCAGCAGCTTGGTCTTGTAGAGCTTCTTCAGCCCTTCGCTCACCGTCTGGAAGACCTCCGGGTCCTTCCGACGGCGGTCGTCGCCGCCCAGCCAGCTGAACATCGCCGCGGCAGCACCAGGGAGAGACGGAGAAGGAGAGAAGACTCAGCCGGGCGGCGGCGGCAGTTTAAATGCCAGCCCTGCAAGAGGCCGGCCCCGGAAGCGGAAAGGGCCCGCGCGACGAAGGAGCACGCCGCGCTAGCAGGAGGCTCTCTCTATGGGCGGCGGCGGGGCTTTCCGGTTAGGGTGTAGAGGAAAGAGGAGCCGCGCTAGGAAGGAGACTCTATGGCGGCGAGTCACGTTTGCAGAGGGGGCTTCCAGTTAGTAAAGCACGGCGCCCTAGGAGACTCTATTGCAAGGGGGCGGTTTTCCCCTCGGCCAAACAATTGAGTGGAGTTTTCGTTTAGGGAGAGGAAAAAAGGACGCCGCGCTGAGAGGAGACTCTATGGTGCTGGGCGGGGGGAGGGGGTCTTTTTGATCCATCACTCAGTGGGACTTGTAGGATAGAGAACACCGGACGCCGCACTAGGCGGTGTCTCTATGGTGGGATCGGCCGTTCTGGCCCAGCCCAAGCCGCGTCTCCACCACTGAGGATTTCCGGTTAGGTAGAGAAGAAGCAGCCGCGCTAGGCGGAGTCTCTATGGCGGGGTGTGTCCTTATGGCTCAGCCCAAGCCGGGTCAGCCCCAACATTGAATGGGCATTTTTTTTCACCCCGCGGTCTCGGCTTCCCCCTGGCGGCCGAGCTGAGTGCGCAGGCGCGCTCGGAGGGAGGGCTGGCAGGCGGCCGCGCAGGCGCAGAGTGGTCTCGCGAGCCTGGTCCCCTCTGCAGAGGTGGCAACTTCAGTGCGCACTTGGGGGCGGGAGGGAGGGGCGAGTAGAGAGAGAGAGACATTTGTCCGCCGTAGCGCATGCGCACACCCGCCTCGTGAGGGGGGTCCTCCGCAGAGGCGGCTACTTGAGTGCCTGCGCGGGTCCTGGCTTGACATTGATCCGGCCGCCATGTCGCAGCAGCAGCAGCCTCAGCAGCCCCGCGCCCCTCCGGCCGCCTCTGCCGCCTCCAACCCGGGCTTGATTGGCTTCCTCCGCCACCAAGTCACACACCGGCCCAGCGTGAGTGGCTCCCCGGGACTCCCGACCCCATCGTCCCCGGCAGGGGCGGGCTGCCCTGAGGGTCATTTGCACGCCCGGGGACTCCAGCTCCCATCATCCCCTGACTGGGTGTGCCCATCCCCGGGGGTCCTTTATATTCCCTGCACTCCAGGCATCCCCCATCATCCCCGGCCGGTGCATCCCCACCCTCGGGGTCATTTGCACGCCTGGACTCCAGCTCCCATCGTCCCCGGCCCGTGATTCAAACCCCAGGCTCGTCTTTATGGCGGCTGCCCTTTCGCCCCCTTCTTGACCGGCCAAGGCCAATGGCGGAAGAACGGATTCGCTTAACAACGGAAGGCAGACTTCCGACACTAAACGGCCGTAAATGCGAGGACTTCCTGTATTGCTCCTAATTTTTAATCCTAATTTTTACTTTTTTTTTCCCTCGCAGCTTATTCCGCTTTTCCTAATCATGGGTACTGCGGTGGCCGGCGCTGGACTCTATTTGATGCGTCTGGCTCTCCTCTGCCCCGAAGTCAGGTATGTCTCGTGCCACACCCATATTAAACCCTGGTTTGTTACCCTACAAACCCTGGATACAAACCCTACAAAAGCTGAATTTGTTCATTTGCAGCTGTGATGAAAACAACACTCAGATTAAAAGAGCCAGCCGTCTTTTTTTTAATGAACCCTTAAATTTAACACAGGGACCCCCTTGGGCGTTATCAATAGTTGAATTGAAATTTGAATTTATTAAATTTCTATGCCGCCCTTTTCCCCGAGGGGACTCAGGGCGGCTCACAACCCAAGTTCATTTAGTGACCATTCAAAGTGAAATATAGCAATAGCAGTTAGACTTATATACCGCTTCATAGGGCTTTCAGCCCTCTCTAAGCGGTTTACAGAGTCAGCATATCGCCCCCAACAACAATCCGGGTCCTCATTTTACCCACCTCGGAAGGATGGAAGGCTGAGTCAACCCTGAGCCGGTGAGATTTGAACAGCCGAACTGCAGAACTGCAGTCAGCTGAAGTGACCTGCAGAACTGCACCCTAACCACTGTGCCACCTCGGCTCTCAATATGTTTGCCCACCCCGAAAATTTGGCATGGCCTTATTTTCAGGACATGTCATATTTTCAGGGAAACACGATAGTTGGGTCACGAAATGTTAAACAAACATAATGTCGTTAAGTGAGTCTGTTTTTACCCTCTATGGGCTTTTATGTGTCCCAAATGAGAAACAAAAGTCACAACCAGTAAAAAGGAAGAGAGGTGTGGCCATTAAAACTTTGGAAGTGGGTCTCGAGTAGTTCTGCAAAGGCCTGTTGTAACTTACAACTGAGCAACTGGTCATTAAGCGAGGACTGCCTTCATACAGCATCCTGATTGTCTGTTTTCTCCCCCTAGATGGGATAAGAAGAATAATCCGGAGCCATGGAACAACCTTGATCCCACTCATCGTTACAAGGTGGGGCTTTTAATTGTTCAAATAAATTACATCGCTCGGTATGTGACAGGCTTTGCCCGGGCGTTCCGAGAAGGGGGGGTGGACTACATGACCTCCAGGGTCCCTTCCAAATCTACAATTCCGTTACTCTGCTATTTTAAGGGGCTCCCTCCCTCAAAAGTGTTTTATTTCGAATTTTACAGAGACCTTATATAATAAAGGATACGGATTAAAGGGCTGGGTTTAAATTAGCATTAGACTAACGAAAATAAAAACTTAAGACGCTGAAAGCAGGATTAAATTCTAAGGTAAAGTCTTTTACAATCTTGATTACAGGTCATATCTTGCTCAAGGGCTAGATGACCTCCAAGGTCCTTTACAACTCTGTTTACTCTTATTTAAGGTGGGACTAGAACTCGCCGTTGGCTGGTGATTGGCCCAGAGTCACCCAGTAGGTTTCATGGTTAAGGTGGGACTAGAACTCACTGTCTCCTGGTGATTGGCCCAGAGTCACCCAGCTGGCTTTCCTACTTAAAGCTGGACTAGAACTCACCGTCTCCTGATGCCTGGCAATTTTTCACCCTGTTGCAAAGTTCCGTCCGTCCAGATATTAGGGTTTACGGATTGACGTACAGCAGTGCTGTCCCAGTGAGTGGTAAGGCCACTTAGTAAAGGTGCAGTAATTCATATTTCGGTTGAAAAGTGGAATCCAAAGAAGTACGAAATCGTTAGGTGTTTTATTTGTTTATTTTTCCGCATGTGGTTTCAAGTTGCTTTCTCCTTTTTTTGCAAAAGCGGCCACTTTCCTTTCCATCATTCTCTTTTCTTCTTCCAGTTCTTTGCCGTCAACATGGACTACAGCAAGCTGCAGAAAGACCGTCCCGACTTCTAAAACGAGGCGGGTTTCGTGACTGTCCTTGCAGNAGCCGGTGAGATTTGAACAGCCGAACTGCAGAACTGCAGTCAGCTGAAGTAGCCTGCAGTGCTGCATTTAACCACTGCGCCACCTCGGCTCCGAAAGAGACGGAGAGAAGATGAAAGAGAAAGAGAGAATGGGAGATGGGGAATGAGAGAGGGAGAATGGAAAAGAAAAAGCGAGGAAGAGAGAGGGAGGGAGGGAGAATGAGAGAGAAATAGAGAGACGGGAAGAGAGTGAAAATTTCAAAATCAGGTCCATGTCCAGTCCAACTTGAGCCCTTAAGTGAGTGGTCATTAAGCGAGGACCACCTGCAGTCAGAAGTAATATTTCTGAAGCTGAAAATGAGTGATTGACAGATAAGAAAAACAAGAGAACCAACAGTAACCGTCTGACCCCGGGCCGCCAAAAACCAGTTTCCCCAGTCAAACCAGCTCAGAATGCCGCTCCAGTAGCCGACTGACCTGTTCAAGAAGGCGTTGCCGAAGGCGTTAAGCTTCCGGAAGGGCTTCTTGGGATCTACCACCAGGGCATTCCCAGGGATGATCCCTTCCACGTCCCCCTGCATCACTGCAATGAAGGAGTCCGTCGTGGGTTCGGGTCCGATCCGCATCCCGGGGAAATCTTGCTCCAGCAGGTACCTTAAAAAAACAGATTTCAATCAGACAAACCATGATTGGTCCCTGAAAGCAGACAAGCCACCATTGGCACTAAACACCAGGCATCAAACAGATAGGTGGCAAGGTAGGTCATAAAGTGAGGCAAGACTCCCTTAACAAATGTTTCATTTTAGTGATGGAAACCTTGGGTTCCACCCTGGTCGTAACTCGAGGACTACCTGAAGTAAACAAGGCAGCTAAGATTTACTTAAACGTGACACTCACTCAACCCCTGGCAGGGATCCACTCAACAACGGTGTTCGAGTGAGGGGGTCCAATGGGGGCCCAACTTGCTTAACAACTACCTCGCTCAGTCATAAGTCAAGGATGACCCATATTTGAGCCGAATCGGCAATGCGGAATGCGGCTTGTGTTGCAGCCAAAGGAGGCCGAATGGATCTGACTCAGCAGACAAACAGACCAGCTTAAGAGGAGAAGGAGAAACAAGAAGTCAGATTTGATTGAAGAGACTTTTCATTTTATTTTATTTTTCCAGCAGGAGAAGAGCTGGAAAAGGCACAGCTGGAGAATCCCAGAGCCAGATGGGCCTCTCCAGCTGTGCTTCGCTGGCCTTAAAAAAACAGACCGACTCTGATCGCGGTTTCTCAGATACTGGAACAGGGTGTGTCCCTCTTGGCAGCTGGAAGATGGGTGGATTTCCAACTCCCAGAATTCCCCAGGAAGCATATCTTGAGAAGCGCAGATCCCTCTTTCCCTTCCTCCCTTCGTTTCTCAACCGTGGCCACGTAAAGATGGGTGGACTTCAATTCCCATAAATCCTCAAGCAGGTTGAAAAGCACTTCTCCCTCTCTCTTCCCCCCTCCCTCCGTCAACCTTGGCCAAGATCAACTCCCAGAATTCCCCAGGCAACACACAAACACACACACACACACTCTCTCTCATTCACTTTCTTTTCTCTCCATGCATCTATTCCTCAATCATGGCCAAGATGGATAGATTCCCAGAATTCCCCAGGCAACTCTCTCTCTCTCTCTCATTTCTTTTCTCTCTCCATCCATCCATTTATCAACCATGGCCAAGATGGACAGACTCCCAGAATTCCCCAGGCATCACTCTCTCTCTCTCTCTCTCCATCCATCCATTTCTCAACCATGGCCGAGATGGACGGACTCCCAGAATTCCCCAGGCAACTCTCTCTCTCTCTCTTTCACTTTCTCTCTCTCCATCCATCCATTTCTCAACCATGGCCAAGATAGATGGACTCCCAGAATTCTCCAAGCAACACACTCTCTCTCTTNCCCCCCCCCCCCGATGAAAATGAAACAGTGAGAAAAATCAGATTTTCCAAAATTGGACGACCTCACAATATGACCTGATCACACCCATCCAGCCACACCCAACCGGAGACACTCAGATGGCCACCCCCACTCAACCACACCCACTCAGGAACACTCGGATAGCCATGCCCACTCGGCCATGCCCACTCAGGAACACCCAGATGGCCATGCCCACTCAGCCACGCCCACTCAGGAACACTCGGATAGCCACCCCCACTCAGCCACGCCCACCTGGGGGTCACTCAGATGGCCACCCCCACTCAGGGACACTCAGATGGCCACCCCCACACAGCCCCACCCATCAGACCTGATTTGGAGACAGGGTTTAAGACAAGCTTATCAAAACTATTAGGGGAACGACGACAAACTGCAGGCCGGTTTACACACCCCGCCCCAAGCCGAGATCGAACAAGACGGCGGGGTACACAACTTCACAGCGTGCCAGATTTGCACGGCTGGACTAGATGACCGCCAAGGCCCGAGGAACTTGTCCTTGTTAAAAGGCAGAAAGAAAATGATAATCACCTCGGCTAATCCTTTGCTTCTCTCCGGAGAGGATTCCCGGGGTGTCGATCACACTGATGCTGTCGAGGACCGCATTTGGCAATTGGGCACACACAAATCTGAGGGGGGGGGGGAAAGGGGAAGAAAAATTTGAATTATTGGGAGGGAAAAGCACATGGCTCATTTGCACCATGGGAATGGATCGTTCCCCATAATCACCTACTGCCACATACCTCCCTGCGTCTGGTAAGATCCCACAGATTGGGCTTCCTTCGGATGCCGTCAGCCGGACAGTGTCGACTGGTGGGCCACCAGAGGAGAGCCTTATCTGTGGCTGCTCCGACTTTTTGGGAATCAGCTACCCCCAGAGATCTGGATCATACCCACTCTCATGGCCTTCAGGAAGGCTGTTAAAACCTGGCTGTTCCGGCAGGCCTGGGGCTGTTGACCTCGCTGTTGGGCGTCCAGCCCCGATTAGAATGAATGAATGTTGGGTTTTTGATTTTAAACTGTCTTTTTTCTTATTTTTTTTCTTTCTTTTTTCTTCTTTTGTAAGCCGCCCAGAATCCTTTGGGATTGGGCGGCATATAAATGTTAATAATAAATAAATAAATAAATAAATAAATAAATAACATTCTTGAGCATGACTGTTAGGAGCTTCAAGCTGCTTCAATGCCCAGAATTCCCCCAGCCGGCTATGCTTTAAGAGGGGAGGACTCCCACTCCCAGAATTCAACTCTATGTCGCCTGGGGATAAATATGTGATTTCCCAAGTCTTAAGCATGTTATAAAAGCACTCTGGCTGGGGAATTCTGGGAGTGGAAGCCCTCCCCTCTTAAAGCAATAGCAATAGCAGTTAGACTTATATACCGCTTCATAGGGCTTTCAGCCCTCTCTAAGCGGTTTTACAGAGCCANCTCTCTCTCTCTTACCCTCCCACCCCACACAGACAGGTCTCTCACACACACACCTACACCCTCCAAGGAAGTCACATCCCTTCGTTAACTTGCTTTCCAGCTCTGTTTTCTGCTCCACCTGCAGGACAAGAGAAGTAATCTGTGTGACTATGGCAAAACAACAACAACCCCCCCCCGAAAATACCTTCCAACTTCTTGCAAAAAGAAAATAAAAAAGATCTCGCGAAGTTGGAAGTCGTCCCACAAACTCCTTTTCATTCCCTGCAGGTGGCAGTGGAGGATACAGCAGTAGAAGAGGTTAATGGTGGGATGTGGCTGCCTTGGGAGGGGTGGGGTTAGGCATCTCTCTCTCTCTCTCTCACACACACACAAACACACTCACACACAAACACACAAACTGGCTGTCCTTTCCTTGGGAGCTGTGCACAGATGCACGGATTGCAAAGCTGGAGGCTTCGGATGGAGCATTTGGGGGGATGTGCACCTGCGCTGAGTTCCCAAGGAAAGAACGGTCGCCAGGAAAAGGGCAAGGAAGGGATTTTGGCCTCTTATCCCGTTTCTGAGTCTGTGCTGAGCTTCGGAACAGGGTGAGAGGAAGGAAAATCCCCCCCCTCCCCATTTTCTTGCGGTTTGCAAAAAAACGCCCCATTTCGAGCCTTCCGTGTGAATATGCAGGTGAGAAGTGACCACCCTGTAGGCATGGAAATCCATACACCTGGGACATGGGAAGGAGCCAGTGAGGAAGAAGCCCTGTGAGGAGACACCGCTGCAGGAAATCTCCCAGAACCCCCCCCCCTCCACCTGCAGATCGTCCATTCAAAGAGGAGTTTCACCAGGACGAAGAGGCCTCTGGAGGTGGCGTTTGTGTCACCTTCATCCTGGTGAAACTCCTCTTTGAAAGGACGATTTGCAGGTTTTGGGGGGTTTGGGGGTTTCCTACAATGCAGCAGCGGCGTCTCCTCCTTCCGATATCTGAAGTGTATGGATTGCCATGCCTTCCTTTCCTGTTCCGTGAGGCCCTGAGGTGGGAAGGGAAGGGGGATTGTCTCCTCTTCTGGCCATACCCACCCCTTCACTAGGCCTTATTTCCAGGGGAGGCCTTATATAGCAATAGCAGTTAGACTTATATACTACTTCATAGGGCTTTCAGCCCTCTCTAAGTGGTTTACAGAGTCAGCA